AGACGATTGTGGTAATCTGATTTCAAAAGTTTTTACTCTGAACTGATCAAACTGTTGCATTGCTTACACAAAAAAAAAAAAAGATACCAACAGTACCAATAGAATCTATTTAATTCACTAATTCTTTTTTTCCACATCTTTAAACTAGTTTTCTTTCTTTCTATTACCTTTGACATCTTTAATGTCAATTTTAATTTACAAAAAAATAAAAAATAAATAAAAAAATTCTGCGTACAACTGTACAATAAATATTTGTTTGACGACAACATTAAATATTTGTTAGATTTTTTTTAAAATCCTATCTGTTTAAAAAAATTTTTTTGAATTTTTATCCAATAAACACCCATCTAATTGGTTATTTTTGCATTTTTAGTAGTAATAAAAATTGGTAAATTCTCTCGTAAGGTTTTTTTTTTTAAATGCATAAATTAATGTTCCAATTTCATAACATTTTTCCAAGTTTATTTATCTGTATCTTAACTTACTCCTATTCAAGATTTCATTCAATTCTATAAATACTTGACAGTTTTAGCTCCAGCAATGCTTTTTCCTTTTCTATATTTCCATCATCGATATTGATCAAAGGTCTTCTTGTGCTGTCAACTGATCAAATTTTTAAAAAATTTTGAAAGCAGTTTTTGTTCAAAGATAATTTTACGTAAAAATTCCTTCAAAAGTTCTGTTACGACTAATGGGTAAACTATAGGAGACAAAGTAAAACCACTTGCCATCCGTAAAAGCGATAAAAGACTTATGTACACAAATTTTTGTAAAAAAATTACTCCAACAGGTGTTAAAGCAGAAAAGATTTATTTCTAAATAAGTCCTAAAAAATAACCAAGCTTCCATCTTAGTCTAAAATTATTCTCTAACTAGAATTTCAATCTTTTTTTTTTTTTGGTTACAATCAGTTCGTTTAATCTTCACCAACAAAAATGTTCGTGATAAATGATTTTTCAAAATGCTATACAGAAATTCTTCCGTTGGTAAAATGTTTAATAAAAGGTTTAGCAATTTTAGTATGTACAATTTCACTTGTAGATTACTTTCTTTTTTTTTTTTTAATTTTTGTAACTGAAAAACGCGCATAACAGTCTTTACCAGTAGACTAAATTTTTCCATAATATTGTCTCTATCCTGAAATGATGTCAATGCGCAGAAGCGCGTGATACCTACTTTCCTAGTTGTATTAGTTACAGTTTCAACCATCTACGAAGTAGACGAGCATTTATTAAACAGCAGTGTTAGTGGTGACTTCAACTGTACCTTAGGCTGAGGAGAAGCAGATTCTCCTTCAGCATAATGTGGATCCAATCTGTCTACATCACACTTATGATTGTCATCGCTGAAACGGTAAGTCTCCAATTGTATAATATTTGAAAATCACTACTGCTTGTAAATTTCGTCATGCTAAAACGATCATTTTTAGTGTTTCTGCATGTTCATAGACTCAATGCTATAAAAAATATATTTTATTGGCTCCTTCCTTTAAATTTTCTACTTCACTAACTTTTTAATGTTAGTGTTTAGTGGTACCATAAATATAGACTCAAAAGCATTTATTTTGCAAATAAAAACCTTTTAATGAGTAAACTCAGTATAAAATTTAAAAAGGTGGAATGGCAAAACGGAATAGCAGACAGCTTGGATCTAAGGCGCTTTTTAAATAATTGGAGAAATTCAATACTTCTACCTATTTATCAAAATCCAGTGGCAAGACCACAAATCCAGTATGCACCGTTATTCGTCACCACTACAGATTTGCCGTCTACTGACACCAATGACGTCGCTTTTCTGCAGGTTTATTCTCTCGATGTTGAACCGTTTTCCTCCTAAATGGCAATTTTTGAATGAGGAAAAGAAACCAGAAAGAAGGGGGCGAAAAATTACTAGACTCTCTTTCAAAATTTCAAGCTGTTCAATATTATTCTCTTAAGAATATGAGTAAACTCGTCCTAAACTCAGGAATTTGACGGATCAGGAGACTCTAACGACGAAGAAGAAAACTTTGGCTCAATAAAAATATCAAGACCAGCAACAGAGGTAGTAACACCTACTGTTTTGAATGAAGCTGCAGAAGATACAACAGATGTGGGGACACCCAAAAAACATCTCTTCGGAATCCCTTTCTCAATAAAAATTACAAGGTCGGAACAACCGCAGTACGACCGTGGGAAAATAAGATGGAGAACTGTACCTACACCACCGCCTTCAACCACTTTTTCAACACTTATAACCCAACGACCGCCATCGCATCTGGTATACCTTACAAACCTTTAATGATTATGATGGCACACATAACTTTATCCCCAAATAGAAATTTGAGTATTCGAAAACCTCTAGCTATTGCATGCAACTCACAGTTGCTCTGTATAATCGTCACTTACTATTCCCCAAGAATACTTCAGTACTTTTTTATTGAACCACTTTTTTTACATATTCAAAGGCATGAAAAAGATGAAAAAATTGACTTTCCAGATAAAAAATGAAATGATGAATCTGAAACGACTAGTGGAAAACAGTGATAGCGATGAAGATCTCCAAATGATCTGTAAAAATGCAAAACGCCTGGCGACTACTTATGGAATTCGCGACATGCCATCTTTTGCAAGGAAAAATTGCCCGTTGATACGCATATACTATCCGTACGCTACCTGTGAACAGGTAGTCGAGACTATAGACTATTGCTTTAACTCTTTCATACCTTTAGATTCTGAAGCGTTCGTGTAAGTGGTTCACAACTGCAAGCTACAAAGATTGTAAAAACTAGATGTAACTGTTTATTGAAGGCCAATTCGTATGCATTTAATCCTATTGATGACAAGAGAACAGTTAGAAAGTAGCATTAGTGCTTGCAATCATCTCTCATGGGCCCCACCCCTTTCGCAGTAATGAGTAACAAGTCTTCCATAACAACCAGGTTCATGAAAGCTTTCTGGCTGGAAGCCTTCTGAAAACTAAACAGCACCTTTGTAAACTTACTTCTACACCACACACTAATTCTAAGTTCACCAGGTTTAGAAATCTCAGTACTTCTTTTCTGTTGTTCAAATTTCTAAACAACGATCTCCTAAACAGCTTCTTGCTTCGCTGAACACTTAAATGTGCATAAAAATAATTTTTCTTCATCATCACTTCTCCACATATTATTAAGTCACCAACTTCTGAACACTTGGAAACAAACAGTTCCTTGATATTCTTCTAACCCACGAAGTCAGCACGAAGCCAAAAAAAGGCAAAAATTCAAGAAAACGAAACGTATTTATATTCACCTTCATCACATTCGATCAAAAACCGTGAGAATACAGCACAGTGAACAAAAAAACTCTGGACTAAATAAGATTGCAGACATGCCTCAACCTCCTTTCTTCCTTGAATACAGTTAAACAGTTTAACCTGATCGGCAAACTACCAAGAAGAAAGAAAAAACAAAACAGAACTTGCAAAAGCAGTATAAAAGACAGATCCTCACAATCTTTACAGAAATGGAGCTACATTTCAACCCTTAACACGGGAAAACCTAACCCCAAAAAGCAGCAAAGAGGAGAAATGAAACAAACAATAACGAGATCACTAAAAGTTCGAAAGACATTTATTCCAAAAAAATAATAACTCGCTGTCAGTGGGATAAAATTTTGGCACCGATCTACTCTCAAGTATTGAATAAAAACCATAAGTGGGCCGACTTATTTTAAAGAACGCCGTCGCCTTGTTTTTATAGTCAAGAAAGGTAAAGATCACTCTTGTTTTAAAAAATGACAAAGCCACTCTCCCACACAAAATACTCTGAACAATTTTTACCCTTCTTTTTTTAACATTTTTTAGGTCGACTAGAGTAGATTAGAGTAGATCAAAATGTATCTTCTGATGACCAATACAGTAAGGTTACCTCTACCTGAGAATAAAAATGCAAAATTCCTCCAGCTAAGAATGCGGAAGCTTGACTAGGAAACAGTATCTAAAAAGTTAAACTAAGATCCCGCATTACTGAACTGTTTGGTCTCTTGAAAAATCTTGTGCCTATTTTGCCAATGAAAATGTTATAAGGATTAGAACCGGAACCAACGACAATTCAATAACAGAGTGAATAATTTACAAAGCTGAAAGCAAAAATAACTTGAATGATATTCAACTGGCTTCCCTTTTGCAAGAAAAAAGCCATAACAACGACTTGCACATTAGTGAAGAGTTTCTTGCAATAACAAACACCAATTATCATTCCTAGGTGAAACAATTTATCAATGCGCCATAAAACCCAAGGGTTCTACGACAGTCTGCTTCATCATAGCAAGTCAAACAATAAACAAAGTGAAAAACAGCCAGAGCAACTAAGCAGAAACTGACAAGAAAATCTGCTTGCAAATTAATAAGGTCTAAAAGAAATGTAAACTGGAAAAACTTATCTGCTTGTTTCTGTTTTCAACTTTTTTGTAGCAACATTCTCAGAAGAATTAGAAGCCGGAAGATGTCGCTTAGAACTACCGTGATCATCAAATCGATGTTCAGATGTCAAAGCAGAATTTTCAACAATTTCTTCCTGGACGTCTTCCATCACATCACTCCCTTCTTCTCCAACTAAAGCCTCCTGAAATGCAGTGATATAGTTCACATAACCAGCAAAAAATTTATCTTCTTTGCATTTTCACGATGCTCCCTCGTCATTTATCAGGAGAGATAACCGTTAGAAATGCAGGGCTGGAGTCGTGAAAAGTCGGGAGAACGAAGAATACGATACACTACAAGCAGAAAAAA